CCCTGGGGATGTCCTCTTAATATCAAACTAAACTGTAAGCCATTTATTGCTTAACTTGAATCGTTTTATGACAAAGAATACAACAATCTGGAATAAATAGTGTTGTTGTCGTTTTAGTCGTATTTTAAAATACCTCACCACTGCGAAAAAAAATAACTGTATGTTATTAAATTGAGAGCTAAACTTTCGTAGCGAATTCAGAAAATGAAGGTAGTTAAGTTTAAGTATCCGTGGTGCAGTCGTTAGCCGAGCTGTTGGCTTTTGGGAGAAGGCCAGAGAGCCCGGTGCGGCGGGCAGTGGGTCAAGCGCCCCCGCCGCAACCCGCCGCCGTTTGCCGCCGCAACATAGCCGCCGAATCTGTTACCTGTACATAGTAGGATATGTTGTATAGTGTACACATGATTAGTTATTTTATTGCAAAAGTATATTACTTTAACTTACATCATAAATTATGGTAATTAAATTATAGTAAAGCTAACTACGATTTACTACGAAATATAAATGTTGCAAGAGTACTTTAAGTGTTATAATAAAGTTAATCAAACATTTTGATCTACTCGCATCAGGGATTAGGGCATCTAATTTTAATTCCTAAAGCACTAAAGCCGCATCCGGTGCGCGCGGCCCGAGGCAAGTGCGCAGGCGCGTCGACATCGACCGTCGTGCGCCCCCCCCCGCACACCCCGCGCGCCACCCGCGTCGCCCGCCGGGCCGGGCTGGTGGCGCGACTACATCGTAACACCGCTACTCTTACGATTCCATTAATATTATTGCTTTTTAAAGTTTAACGTTGATGTTCTCAAAGATTAAGGTAAAGGTAAATGGATTACAGAATTATACGTTTAATTCATCATTATCAAGTCCATCGATCAGTTTAATTAACAAGGACATCATCAACGGATATCAGAATGGAAAATGTATCAAACATCGATGATACATTGAACCTGAATTATATAATATTAAATTTATTATTAGGATATTTATCTGATGTATTATACAATGTTAGGGAAATGAATTCCCTTTACAAAAAGAATCGAATCTGACATTAGTACATACGTTTTAGTTCACACAACTTGAAACAAACAGCTAAGCTTTTATTTAAACTTATTAATATACATTGTTTTTTGACATTCAAAATCACATAACTTTTCTGTTTGTGATTCTCAATAAAATATATTTTCTCTTTCATTTGTTTAAAATTGTTTTATTAATGTTATCTCCAGTAAAGTTATCTCCCCGGTGCGGGGTCTCTACACTTCACTGACTGATTCGTATTCAAGCGACGCAACGGGATAAGTTTTGCTAAATGTAAAAGTTTTGTGATCGCACCCCTGGACCATTTCACCCGACAGATATTTGCAATTCTAATTTGTAAATATCGTTATCCGTTACCTATGATTTATGTAAAGATACACGAAAAGTGTCGGTGGCGCAGTGGTTAAACACTGGACTGGACTTGTAATCTACGAGTCTCAATTTGATCCCGGCCATGTACGTGCACCATCGTGCTGAATCGATTTTTTAAATTTCATTTGTTCAATTATCCGACGTTAGTTAAGGTGAAAAAAAACATTGTAATGCAAACTGCACTTATCTGAGAAGAATCCTCCGTTGTGCCAGCATGGTTCATAAGTCCTGGGCGGTCCTAACATCGGGTAGGCTCGAGTCTGCTTGTATTGTTTTATAGAGAGTTTTTTATTTCCTTTTTAAATCTATTACTATTATAAGAAAATCCACGAGCCGCATGAACCGAACCACAAACATGGCGGTCACAATTAAAATGTTTAAGTATAACTAAGTAATCCATTTGTTGAAGATGTTAGCAAAGCGGTCCGTAAATAATTCATACATTTCACATGCTATAACATTTGCCCGCGGATATTACTTTGTTAAAAATAACTATAATATAAACACTATTGCAGCAATAAGCGAGAGATATATGTAAGTTTTCCTTCATTTCCTTTAGCAAACATGAACAGGGAGTTTGGTTATAAATTAAAAAATATTAAATATTACAACTCATTGTACTGTTACAATAATTGGAAGCTGTTTATTATTTATGGTTTGTTTCCAGTGTCGCTGCGCTCGTGTTATCATAGTTTATATGAAGTAGCATAGTTATATGTATATGTATATGTATAGTTCGTAAATTGTTTTTCTTTACTAGTTTTCTAAAATACTATATATTAATCTAATCTTTCACATCGCCATAATTTTCTCTGTTCTCTGGTTCACGCTCAACGTTATCATATAATTGATATTTTAATAGCGCGGAGCTGTGAGCCGGCAGTCATGGTGTCGCACTCTGTCGCACTCTGTCGCGCATATGTAGCAGACAGCACAAGTTGCATTCAACACTGTAACATACAAATAATTGATGAATGTGTGACGAAGCTATCATCTCGTAGTCAGCGCTTGTGTTTTCAACTATATAGGAGGTAAGTGAAAAACATCACTGTCAAATCAGAAGCCGCATAAAGTAACCAATACTAGAGAGATAATCAGGGAATACATCAATATCACGCCACCTGTTCTATGTCTGTCTATGACTATTTTCACTTTACTGAACTCCTGATTAGAAAATTTATCAAGACTTGTTAATAAAAGTTTTCACAGGCTCTGCGATTTATAAAGTATTCTGAACCTTGAACACAATTGAATACTAGTTAGTTTGGATAAAATATCACTATGCAAGTGTTATTTCATTTGTTTCGGCGTCGATTGTCTTTTATAATAAAACTGTAATTATCAGTTTTATTTTTTTATATATTGGAGGTTACAAATAGATATTGTTATCCGTGGGCTGATAGACCTAGGCCGTCGGGCCAGGGCAGCACGGCGAGGGTGGATATCGACCGCCGCGCGCCTTCGGGGCCTATTTTTAGCAATCGACCGATCGCCTCCCATACCTACATGAAAGTTTCAGGCGTGCCCCATTGGCCGGGGCGGTGTGACGTCACGGGCGGGGCGCGGCGAATGGCAGCGCGGGGTGTGCGCATGCTGCCGGGCTCGCTCGCCCGCCGGCCACCGCCGCTCAGTCCGGGCCCGCAGCTCCCAGGTGTGCCGAGCTCCCGCCGCACACATCAAAGGTCAATATTTTCACATTTCTAAGGCGGCCACTGTAGATTTTCTTTTCATTTTCTGCACCTCGCCGTGTCTTTGATTTGCCGTTTGATTTGGTCGCGGAGTTGAAGTGTCCAGTATCTGATTGTCGCAGGATTACATAATCGGAGGCAGTTGTTATATAACAAAACGGTTGCGTCATATGTATGTATGTATGTATGTGAGTAACAGGAGAGTGGGCGTGTATGTGCGCATATTGAAAGAGAGGTTTCAGCCGCTGTTTTTTGATAGCAGCATGTCTATTACATTGAGGACAGGATGTTATGGCAACTTTCGCATCGTTCGGTGCTGGAATGACACTGGAATCCTGTCACGAGTACGTGATTATTGATTAAAATAATATTTCTAAAGAAAAAATGCTAACCCTATGATACAAGCTTTAACATGTCTTGTTAAAGTATTTATATACTTTTGAATGAATCACGTTAGTGTAAGTTAACGTGATTCATTATAGTTATTCTCTCACTCCCCCACCCCCTCCCACCCGCTGCAGTGCACTACAACCTTCTAGATCATGATGTATAGTGGTGGAGCTATTTTACTTTTATAAATTTCATTGTTTCTTGCACTCAGTTGTTTCTTCTTTCTGCATTCTTCTTAAAAAGCATCCCACTTATCTATAGTGCTATCAATCTGACAAATAAATAAAAAACACATATCTCAGCGGGCAGCTAGCGAAGGCTATTGTTGTACATATAATTACACAATTTTGTGTACACAATCCGACACATACTTTGTATGTTAAGTTCTTACATGATGCAACCTTAAAATGTCAATTTAAGAGCATATGAATTTTCTGATAAAATTTCTGCTGCTAATTTCCGTTTTAACTTTATAAACCTAAAAGTCGTGTGATAAACCTTTATATTTGATAGTTATAATAGGAAATTACGAGGAAATCTTTCCATACTTTTTAAACAAAAAAACAATACAGTAAATAAAATAATTTAAAATGATCTCCTCTGTGGCGTAAAATATTTCGGAGCCATAGCCGAAAGCAATCGGAAGTGTGTGAGAGGAAACTGCCGCTAGAGCCCTTCCGGTCGCCATCTTGGTGCCGGAAACGTGCGCGATACGACTTCCGGCGCTTTAGCTACATAAATGTAGCTAACTGAAGCACGTTTGTAAAGTGAATATGTTGCATAACTTATACATATACAATGAAAAAGTTTAAATGGTAACTTGTGTCATTGTAACCTATATATTTACAAGAATATAAAATAAATAAAAATAAAAAATGTCTTGTTTAAAAATAACTTCATGAACCACAAAACTACAATGAATAAGTTCTTATGTTGTTCCTTACGATCTTTTTATGTTAGATATTCTTAGATTGCTACGACGATACGAACGTAGCAATCTACGTATTGCTACGGAATACCGAAAAAACATAGTCGTTCTTAGCTATCGTGAGCTAACCAGAACGGCCGCCGTCCAGCGCGGCGCCGGCGGCAGCCGTAAGCTCACGGACCCGGTTTTGTTTAAATTTACTAACAGTTTTAATTAAAAGATGAAACTAGTATCAATCTATCAGGTTTTTCTAAGTAAAAATGTCAAAAATTTTCAAATTCAAAATTAGCTTCTATTCCTAACAAGAGGTAATTTGTTGCAGAAGACCGGCGGCGCACCATGGTCCGGCTCTAAAGCCCAACACAAACCGATACATATCAAGTAACGCACTGAACTTAGTTAAGGCTAGACTTACCACTATCTTACTAATTTACGAATAAGCAACGACTGCATTATACTAGATAAGATAAGACAAAAGAGTTCGCAAGAGTTGAATAGACAAAGAATTTGTCAAAGTAATTTGCGGAAGAAGTTTGTTTCGGCCCTCGGGGCGCGGGACGGTGGAGGGCGCGGGGGAGTGCGCGGGGCAGGGCGCGGCGCAGGGCGCGGCGGGCGCGCTGCTGGGCCGGCTGCGGGGAGCGCTGCGCGGGGACGCCGCCGACGCCATCCGCGGCTTCATCAGCCACAAGGTCGACTCGCTGCAGCTCAGAGACTCAGGTCAGTCACCTGTTCCTATCTAAGACCTAACACTTTACAAATGGAGAAACAAGCGAGCGAATTAGCAATTTCATGTGATCTTCACTGCTCACTGCTAAACAAAATCCGCGACAGTCACGTCCCGGACATACTGTTTAACATTTTGTCGCAAAAAACTAAATATTATCCTTGAAAAAGAAAAAAATTGCGTGTAAAAATAACATTATTATGACGCCGCGTTTACTTATAAAAGGTTCCTTTTTCGACTGCAATAGATACCGACATATAAATAGCCGGTGAAATTCCAAACATAACATGATTATGCCGAGAAAACAAGGTCCCGCGGCCGGGCCCATGCAAACAAGATGCGGCCCTTTACAAACACAATTTATTTTACAAATTGAACCCTATTCCCTTGTGTTAGGCGGCAAGATTTCCGCCTCGCTAGGCTTACAGCTAACGATCTACAAATATTTGTGAAGTAATGTTTTTATTAAATCAGAGTGGGAGCAATCAATATACTTAAAGTTTGACATTGTACGGTGTACGTTAAAGCTACATATTTTATTTGTTTAAATTATGTATAGGAAGATGTCCAGATGAAATAGAAAATCTTGTGTGCCTTTAAGTCTCTGAATGAAAAGACAAAACTATGAATAGTTTTTTCACAATGATATTGACTGATTTTTCATTATTAAATCAACTATTTACTACAACTATTTGACTAAAAATAAAACCATTGATTAATTAATATTGACCAAAATTATTGTACTTGTATAATTACAGTGTAAAGACTTTTCAATTCTTATCTCTATTCATTCCGTTTTACCGATATCCGACATTACCTGCAACAAAATAATTGTACTATTATTTCGCCTCGGTGACCGCGTAACGAGAGGATGGACCAAGAAGCGTGACTTTGGCAATCTGCCCCTTCCTCGCACCCTCTAATTGTATCAATTAGTTGTGCGGCACGGCCTCCACACCGCGCACTACCTCGCTGTAATATTATGATATTAACTGTTTACTAAAACAACCTGTACTTTGTATTCATTAATCTGCTATTTCTGTCATACATATTATAGTATAACTTACGCTTACTTAATACTTATAAGGAAATGTAATTAAAATTTAAAAGTTTTTATAAATATTAATTGCTTTTGGTAACAGACAGACCGAGAGTTAACTGAAACAATTTCAAAGAACGAATCACACAAGATACAACAACGATTAAGTTATTTATTATTTCCAGCTGATTAGTGAGTTGTCTCGCGTATATCCGTTGCTACCCTCGGTACAAGGGCAGTAATGAAGCAGTGCGCAGTTATCTCTCGTGAATCTACATCCCCTCGCGCGCCCAACCCCGTCCCGCTGCGCCGCACCCCTCAACCCTCGCCCTATTGGACCTAATTCGCTCCGTAACTCGATATCGCAAGTTTGCTTTCACTAATTGGCGAATATTCAAAGCTCTTACGTAATCATTGCTAAGTGTTTTATAACGTAAATAAATTCTCCGATACTTTAAATAGATATTTATAATCTTTAACAATTTTGGTTAAGCTAATTAACAGTTTGTGGTGCGAATGTTTGTCATGTAGAAGCTTAGTAAATATTTTACGTTTTACTTTACTTTTTTATTAGTAACTAAATATTGATGTTGTTAATAAATGAAGCTACAACTTTTTGTAATTTTTGCCTTTATTCACATCGTCTTAAGTAATCAATTATGTATTTGTATATCAATACTTAAATAACAGTTAATTATTTGTTTTCGTTTGCTAAAAGATATGCTCCATTAAAGTTGCTATAAAATTATAAATTAGGAAAAATTCATCGTTGGAGTTGTAACCGTTTTTTCACGATAAAAATTAATGATAACATAGCAAGCACAAATATTGAGACTGTTTACCAACAAGAAACACAAATATTGCTCACAAAGTATAGAATAATAAACTGCGCCACTCAAGTATCATGATATATTGAGCAGCATCATACGAGTGGCGCGTACTGCGTAGCGCCGTAGAGCGTAGAGCGGTGCGCTACGAGCTGTGAGGGGTTGCGTTATGAATATTTGATGGTACGCCACGGGGCTTCCCCACCCTTCGCCGACTGCTGCTGGCTTACGGCAAGTCGCACATATTTTAATAAAATAAATATTGTTGCTGCGTGGTCTCTTACGAAGTCTACGTAATAGAAATATTGCATTTTAGAAGCTTGCAACATTTTGTTATCATCAAATTTGAACGAAACCGTCGCTTTATCCGTCGCGATCTAATTGCAGTTCAGGCAGTCGTGTAACGAGCGGGAATAAATAACATATCGCAGCAGACTTTAAAACGTTTAGTGATCGACGGGCAGGGTTAGCGCCACCCCGTCGACTCAAAAAAATTGCTCGCTACATAAGCTAAAGTTATTTTTTATTTACATATGTAAAAAATGAGGTGTGGTCCCCGTGCAGTCTATACCGCCCCGGGTACCGACGGCCTCCACTAAAGGCTGATATCGATTCTGTAGTAAGCCGCGCACACCGGAGTAGGTATGCCAAAGTAACATTGTGTGTTTTAGTTTTTATAATAGTATAATTCTGAACATTTCAAACTGTTTAGCATTAAACGATATGGACACAGAGGAATTTAGCTTATGAAAGATTAAAAAGTTTTCGCAAATATTATAAATGTCGAAGAACAAAACTCAAGTTGAATGTATTCATGTAAATGAGATCCATAGTATTACAATAGATGTATAATTTCTCACGGGCACTTAAGCACAGCTTACACTGCTTGACGCCGACGACGAGTGGGGCTCATTACGACGGCCAACAACCGCCAAATGATGACAGTGAACGGGCACAAACAGTACCACTCGAAGTGGCACGCACGGCACAATGGCGGCCTGCCGCCGCACGTCCCGACGAATTCTTATTCGATAGTAATTTAATGTTCTCTCACGGCCGACAATGCAATTGAATTGATTGCGGTGCAGTTATAAAGCAACCCTCTCAATATACTATTAGCATTTGTTGTCGTCGATTCATTTACCCTTCTAACGACAAAACGATAAGCAAGCTTATATCAGTAAGAATATTGGCAAGCTGCATGCTGCTTCATATGTAAATGTGGTATTTTATCAACAACGTAATTCGTTGGATTAATTAATTAAATGTTAGTAGCATACGGTGAGTATTATTTGATACGATATAGACTCTGACTATTATTTAATATTTACTGTAAAAACTAAAATTCGCAAAAATATTAGGTTTTTTTTTAAACCCACCATAAAGCTTGCTATTGAGATAAAAGGTACATTTTTAAAGAACATGCGACACGTTGCCGGGCCGCGTGCACAGCGGTTGCATTGGGGCTGCAGGTCGCCGCGGGCTGACCGGTGCGTAATGAGCCGGCGCTTCAACCCTCCAACCCCCAGACAACTTGTGACTGGGGTCCTGCCGCTCACCCGCAGCGTGTTGCCTTTTGTTGTTGCGCTACAACAGCCTTTTGTTGCCGTTTGCCGCCTCTTACTGAATGGACTCGTTTCAACCTGCAATTGACATCCACCAACATGTTTCCAAAATGTGTGCGTTTTTGTATTACTCTATTTGTTTCAAATAGCGCAATATACATTGTGTATTCACTATGACAACTTATAAAAATACACATTTTGTTGACACAATAAGAAAATCACGATACTAAGTGATATTCACTTGTTTTGTTTTTTATATCCTGACACAGATTCTTGATGCGAGTATGTATTAAATCTATACTAAAGTACTCCCTAAATGAATATTCAATAACCCTGAAGATTACTGTTAATCACTTATTATTGTTAGTTTAGGATTTAGGCAATTATTTTTTACCTTTTTCATTTGCAATAGATCGTAATGTACTTTTATTTATTATAAATATACGCGACATAGCATCGTACATGTGCGCCCCTACCAATAACAATTAAGCATTTCATTATTAACGCAACACAAAGAGAAACTGTTTCAGTTCCGGCGCCCTGCCACCCCCTGCCCCCGCTGGCAAGGTGCGTTGAGAGGGTAGTGGAGGGGGCGGGGTGCACTGCTCAAACCGAGAGGGATTATGCTTGTTCGCATACAAGTGTAACAGTTGACAAATCAGTTCCGGCGCGCTGTATGTCTGTTTGCCGGAAGCTTAGAGCCCTGTTACATACCTCCAGCTCGTGATCGTCTGATAAATATTTACCGTACTAATATGACATTTCTAATATTCTTCATCCACAATAGTTGGTTCATCGATTTTCATATGTTTTATATATTTTTTATAAAAAAGGCGCTACATTTACATGTATTGTTGAATAAATGGATATAAAAACAAATGTCAAATTATGTAGAAAAATGTTCTTATTAAGCGTCCAACATCAAACGTGATGTGGAAAAGGCTTTATGTTTAGTGAAAGAGGATCCGGCTATCAGTTGGGTATCGGCGTTAAGTTGTTTGTTCAATTGCGCGCGAAATGACACGGCAGGGCGGGGGCGGCTGCGGCAAAAACGCACACAAATAATATTTTTATTTGCAAGACACCTCGAGTCTCGCACCGACCCAACACAACAACCGACACCCCATTAGTTATCTTGATAAAATTCTGAACAGAATAGCACACTGTACAATCAACTTCACAATAAGCAAAGTGTGCCATCTTGCTACCTAAAATAATGAATGTAGAGCTTCGTTCGCGTTAACATCTCGTGACTAAGGTACTTAAAACATGTTTTATAACCAATGTGACCTCAAAATCACCTTCGAAAATGTTTAAGGTAGTAAACACATTATAATAGGTTACAAAAATAATATGACAACATGTCAAACAATGTTATCAAGTTGCAAGCATCATCTCAGTGTGTAGAGGCCCTAATGTGCGTAGCCCCCGGCGAATTAGCCGCAAGCCGCAGCGGATGATTTACAGCTGTAGATAGCAACCCCTCGCCCTCTCGCCACTCACCCCGCACCCCGCAACACTAACCCCTCGTCAGCCGATTTGCTGTGAAAATTGGCAGACAT